CCCAGCAGTACAGAGGATGCAGTGATATTACAGAATGTGCCCTTCTCACTGCCAAAAGGACTGAATTTAAGCTGTTGTCAGCCAAAATAATGGCTCATGAGAACATAGGGAATCATCATCTCAGTTGATAGCATCTGGACATTGCTCCTTCATGAAGACAAGCATTGTTATTCTGCTTCTGCATACAGATGATCTTTCAGATGATGGTAACAACAATTTCAAAAGCTCAGCAGAGACTACAGAAGTAGGCAACTGATGCTGGGGTCTTGGCAAGCATGGAGAGGAGAATGGCAGAAAATGCTAGAGAAATGGCAGAAAATGCTAGAGAATGTGGCGAACTTAGACCTGAAGTTGAACACCCCAAAATAGTTCTGAACATCAGAGCGTACATATCTTAAAGTTTGTTTTTTTTTTAAAGCAATGATGTAGTACCATATCTCCGTGATGTTTTGTTTTGTGTCCACATTAGATTTGTAATAATTAAAGAAAAGGTGACTTCTACATGAAGAATATTCCCAAATTAAAATGTGCTAAGGTGGAGTTAAAATTGAGAATATATATCAACAGAAAAACATTTGGGACATTGCTATTGTTTGCAACATGAGCATTATAAACTCTGGAATTTCAGAGTTAAGGGTAAAACACAAGCCAAACATGAGAGAAAGACATTTGGGGAAAAGACATCCAAACTAACTTGTTTCTGTTTGATAGTGACCTCATAAAGAAAAGGGCTAAAGCTAATAATTTTTGCTTACAAATGCATTAAATTAAAATTAGATTGATGAGCACTCATTTTACACTAATCACAGTTTATCACCCAAATGCCTATTTGTAAAAAGAGTCATCTTTCTCACTGGAGTGTTAACAAAAGGAAAAATTTCTAAATGGCTTATTTCAGAAGTCTGGCTTGCATAATTTTTTGCAGAACGCTAGTCATGGCAGGAATGGAGGAGAACTCCTTTCCTCCTATTACAATCGGAGTTACAGCTGCTTTGAACTAGAAAGTCGGGCTGACTTGGCACAGCAAATTAAACTACCCAGGTTTATCTGCATTGTTTTTGAAACCATGCTGACTGCAGCCTGAAGAACAGTGAGGTATGGAGATACTTAAGGGCTTTAGAAAAATGGTAATACTTGCTCTGTCATTTAACCATGCTGGGGCTCTTAAGAGAAGAAACCTACTTGAATTAGTGAAATATGCACAGCACGTTATGATCACGTACATGTAATTACATTGTTCCCAAACTCCTAGTCCTTGAATTCCTATTTCTCTTTCACTTCAGGGGGGACTGTGTGTGGTTTTTGTTTTATATGCAAGGAATGTTTGCAATACTGAAATTATTTTTGTTTGCTATTAAGGTGGTAACGGATCAGGAGCAATCAAATGGGAGGTCTCCATCTGGGAGAGCATATTGAGTTTGTGTGTCCCCTGTGAGGCAGGCTGCATCTGCCAGGAAAGCACTGCTGCCTCCGCCTCAGTGAGCAGGGGCTCTTTCTCTTCACAGGACACTGAGTTCACACACTTACAAGAGCTGCGAAGCCAGGCAAGGAAACAGAGTTAGTTCCCAATTCTAACTGCAGAATATTAGGCCTCAGTCATCACTGTTTTATCCACGATGACGGACACTATCCCTTTTCTACACAGCAAGTGAAGGCAAAGCACATCAGCCTAAAAGCATGATTTGACAGATCAGCTAAGCTGCTCTGACACTGAGTTGGTACCAAAGCATCGGTCCCGCTGAACCCACCTTTAACCCATCCCTCCTTGTGTCAGATCCAGCAGTTATGCGGTCATGGGGTGAGTCATTTTGTCTAGCTGATTTGGTAGATAAAAGTTATCTATTTTTTTCCAGCAGCTGACTGTTTCATGTGTAGCTTCACAGCCACTAGATCTGGGACGAGGGAGATGGCAAGAGCATGAGACTGGGATCTTAAGGGGTCAGGGACAGAAAAAGGACAACTGCCTCTTTAGTAGCCATTTACTCCTAAAGCCAACATAAAGACATCTAGTGCAAAATTAACCAAACTGGCAAATTATTTATGAAAAGGTTGCTGAACTCAAAACTCTTGTGGAAAAATATCTGTGTTTAAATACACAAGTGATGATGTAGCCTTTACTGTGCTTTAGTTTTGTGTTAAACAGGAGCTCATACTAGAGGTGGTCCCAGTGACCTCTGTCAGCTTGTGTGTTGGTAGATGGAGTACCCTTTTGTCCAGTACATTGTGGAATACTGCCTGTAAATTTTGGAGTAGAAAATACTGATTTGCTGAAGTCAAAATTATTCATAGAAATGTATTGATTTTTGTCAAAATTTCTTATTAGAATTGGGCTTGGAAAAGGGCAAAACATTTTCCTTTGACTGTATCATCTTGATATATTTTCATAAGCTGCAACTGAATGTCTCATCATATAAATGATGGTGCCCTGTAAAATTTAAAACAGTGATGTTCAAATAATTCCCTTTTGATCTTATTGAAACAAAGTAATCAACAGACAAAGCTTTTTGAGGAAGGGCATTTCATCTTGGGAAGTCTCAGCTCTTTGCTCTGATTCAGGATGAAAGAAGATTTTTCACATGTCAGTTTGCTGGAATTGAAATTGTGAGTTTTCACACATGGTGCTGTGAAATTGTTCATGGCAGTAGGTATCTGGAGGTGTGCCACTTATACCAGATCAGGTTATTTACATTTTTATTATCTAGTCTTGTCAGAACTCTATCATACCATGAGCTACAAAGGTCATCCTTGTAGACTACTTACTGATTTTATTTACACTGTGATGTAAAGTCAGATATATGAATCTGTGATCCGGTCTGGAACAACAGAGTACAAACTCAGTCAGTCTCAACTAGGTTATAGAAATAGGCCGCTTCATCTTGAGAAATCTTGGATGGCAAGTTATGTGGACATGGTCTGAATGAAGGGGTGTTTAATCTATTCTTTAATGTAATTTTGATTCCTCATTAAAAATTATGTCCCAGGAGCCGTCTGGTTTTTTTACTTAGCTTTCATAGTTGATCCTTCCTAAACATCTTTTATAATCTATAAAATTTAGCTCTGGGTTATAATGTTGAATTTGCACCATTTCGTTAGCAGAGAATGTGCTCAGGTCAAACACGTTTTGATGAGCTTATATCCTTCCGCTTTGGTCCTCTTGTCTGGCTCCTCATAAACTAGACAGGAAGTTAATATGTTGGGCAATACTGGAAGCATAGTCATTTTATTAGTATGATGTGACTAGGCTTCCATGAAGCGCTGTAAAACTGATAAAGTTCTTGTCAGAGAAAATTGCTTTAATATCAGGATAAACTTGAAGGGAAAGAATTTACAATCTGAATAATTTACCATCTGAGTGAGGCTTGAAGAATTTCTTAAAGCTAATTCAAGTCCTTAAAAGCTATTTTGCATTATAAAAGTGCTGAAAAGCCTCACCTAAACTATCACGCACTGAACCGTACAGTTTAGGCAAATCTCTGTCCCAGGGACTCTACAGTTCAAGTGGACAGGCAGGCAAAAGGATGAGAAGAAATGGAGGTATAGAATGGTGTGCCACTAAACGATGTTTAATCAGAGTATAATGGCAGTAGACTGGAATCCAAGTCTCACTCTTAACCAGCCCCTTGATTTGGGGGATAATATGGAGTCTGACATCAATGGGAAGGTTTCTGATGAAGTTAGAAGACCTGTGAACAGGTATACCTCTGACCAGAAACAACCCAACCTGTTGTTCTTGTTCTTTTGGTTTATTTGAAGTGAGAACCATAGTTGTGGTAGGCACCATGTGCAGACTTGCATAGGTCTTGGCTATCGTGGATGAACTCATACTCCAGAAGGCAAAGGATTTTGCCACTTCTGCTTCTCTGTATTACCTCAGAAATCTGCATGGCAAGAGAAGCTTTCTCATTTCATCACTTTGAAACTGTCAGTGGTATTTTAAATAAATTATTTTAACCAAGATGGCTATTTCAGAGCATCCTGCTGTCGGACGCCATCTGTTTGGTAAACGTCATCATTTGTGACTTCTGCAGTGTGGGAACCAAATGTCAGAGACTGTCAGAGCATTTTCCATCATGCTCTAATTCTGGCTGAACAGAAGTCCTGTTTATTCACTTTGCTCGAACAGTGTACAGTAGACTTCTTAGACTTTTTAGTTGAGCCAGGATTACAATCAAGTGAAAACTGTAGTCTTTCCACAACTGAATTTCCTCAGAACAAGTGTTTTTATAGAATTAAGGTACATATTTAGTCAAATGAAGCTGTCAAAGAAAAATCAGATGTTACCCTGTTAATTCTAATTTTACTAATTGTCAGTGTTCTAGGTAGGGTGTTTTTTTTGGGGGGGGGGGGGGGAAGGTTGAGAGTGTTCTCAGTTGAATGTATCATTCTTTCAGGTATAAAATTAAAGTCTGATCTCTCCTGGCCACTTAATGTTTTGTAGATGTTTTCATAAACATACAGTGTTGATCCAGCCAATTTAAAGAAAGCATTTTTCCTTGTTTAAACTAACCCATCATTCTAAAGCCATAGCGAGTGTGTTATTTTGCACTTCTGGGCCTGGTTCTCAAATTTTTGGGCTTCTCTAGTTGAAAGTTCAGTAGTTATGTTTTTGTTTCATCTCTCTTGATTTTCTGTTTCTTTAAAATTCTGTGTACATCTCATGCTTATGAAATCTAGAGTCCCAGTTAAACTAGCCAGCATGGGGGAAGAACATGGGCAAAGTTTCACTGAACAGTACGCAAAAATAATTTGGTTCTGATTGGCAACACATCATTCATTGTGTCATCAGCATCCTTTAAGCAGGTGTGGTCAGCCAGGGTAATACTGCTATGGCTTTGCGTTGTAAAAAAATAAAACAACATGTGATTGTGTGGTGGGGATTTTTTGGTTGTTGTTTGCTGGTTTTTTTCTTCTAAATTTGTGGTGAATATCAGATCTTTTTTTTTTCTCTGTACTCACATGGCTGAATTTCACATACCATATTGACAATCATCTTTTCTCAGGAAAATGCTGTGAACGGAGAGCATCTGTGGCTGGAGACAAATGTTTCTGGGGACCTCTGCTACCTGGGGGAGGAAAGCTGCCAAGTCAAATTCTCAGTGAGTTATTTTCAGATTTCCTTCTCTCTTTCTGAGGTAACAAGCCTGTCTTCAGATTGATATAGTGCTCAGACGCTTGCGAGCTTGAATTGTTTGCTGCTGTTGTTGATGCTTGTGTTCCAGAAGGAATGCAAAAAGGGCAAAAGGCTGCTGGTTAAATACTTTATTGCTTGGGAAAAAAAAGCCCAAACAATTTTGAGTGATGCAGATTATTTACACAGTGAGAATGGATGTAACGAGTAGCTTTATTAACATGGTAAAGGAAAAAAAGGTTAGAACATTGAGATATTTCAGAAATGTTCAAATAAAGTAGCCTATTTTATTTACATACACAAATATATCACTTTCTGGGGTCTCTGAGAGTAGGGTCTGATCAAGTTTTTCTGATTTTAATCACTGCAGGGATTTGAACTGTATTTTCCAAACTCCTGAATGCACTCACCAACGAGTGCACTCATATTTCAGTGTTTGCCTTCTCCTGTTTGAGCATATTCAAGGTTTGCCTTCTATTGAAACTTTTTCTGCTGTGCATGAAAAAGTTTCATTGGATAGATCTCTAACCTGTGTATGTCTCTTCTTTAACTGGGGAGTCACTTCCAGTTTGCTTCAGTAACTCTTCACATAGAATTTCAGTTAAACTGCTTCAGCAGAAGAGAAGAAAAAAACCCCTCTTATCTTGATATTCAGGAACTCTGGTGAGAAAGCAGGGATCCTGTGTTCAAGCCCTTGCTTTGAATCAATGCTCAAGGGAACATCCTGGCCCTCGGACTGCAAAGTGTAAGGGGAGTCCCTCTTCTCTGGGGCGTTTGTGGGTACTGCCCGTGACTTTTAGCAATACCACCTTTTTGCTTTTATTAAAAAAAAAAATAATCATTTGATCCAAATCAAAGCTAATTCACTAATCACCCCTAGTATCTGGGGCACTTTGATCCAAAATACTAGTGCTTTCAATAGCTCCAATTTAATATCCATCCCCCATAACTTCTCAAGCAAATCGGTTAATTTATGTATTATAAGTTAAGGCCAGGCCTGGGAAGTCTATCCCTGCTTGCAAAGAGTACTGAAGCGAAGTCCCAGCAGTAACAGGCTGCTGATTGTGGGATGATGTTTAAGAGAAGCGTCATTGTGTGTTTGCCCTGCACTTCCATCGGTCCTGATGCACTGGGTTTTGGCAAAAGCTTGAGACAGGATTTGTGTGGCTGAGTGGGCTGACCCAGTACGACTGTTCTTATGTTCTTAATAGAAGTTTGCCTTTCTAAAAATGAGTAAATACTTCCTCATGATTTAGCTTGTTGAAAGGAGCATGGAAATTTAGTAATATTTTTGCATACGATTTGCATGGCTGTGTCTTAGCTTTAGAGGTGTATCTCTCTAGGAGTTCAAGGACTGTTTGCAGTAGCTGGTGAATTCGACCCACTGACTTACACTTCTATCTGGGAATGTAGGGACACATCTTATATGGTGACAAACTTTTCCAGCCAATAGGCCTGGAGATGTTGAGTTATGTTTAGGAAGCAGCAGAGTTTAAAGTTGCTCAGTTCTTAATTGCCTGGCCTTTGCTTGTACTTTTAGGTACTAGAGTGTTGGTTCCCTTTGGGGAAAGCGATATCTGTGTTTACAACACGTCACTGTTTATGGGGGGTTTCATTAGCTTAAGAACTAGAGATGGAAATGGAAATCAGTTAACTTTAGTTGTGGTTAGTTTAACCTGATCTGTCAAAAGGATAATGCTTCTCCAGTTTGAATCTTTTGAAGACACAGCATCTTTCTATGCCTGTGTGATCTTCCTTTGACTTAGCTCTTTTACATGTAGACTATTTAAGACTGAATGTTTGCAGTGGAGAAGTGGTGAGAAATAATTAAGCTGTAGCTGCACAGACTTTGCATAAAATGTTAGCCTGTACAGAACATGAACTCGTAGTCTCTGGAATATGGAGCTGACCTCTCATGAGAAATTAAAGAAGTTAGAAGTAATGGAAAAGATAGTCTGAATTTTTACTAGTCTCTCACTATAGATGGTTGTAACTACCACCAGCATTCAAAAATCATTAGAACAGCTTAAAAAGCAAGATATTAAAAAAAATAGTTGCTTGTAAGGCATTACCTTTGTTTACTTTTGCAGTTTTTCATCTTAGGGATCAATTCCTTTATGTTGTCTCACTCCTCTTGGTAAACACAGAGACCAAAAACATACTTAAAGTTAACAAGTCACAAAACACATGAAAGCTTACTCTGTTATACAATGTCAGGATTCTTCAGATGAAACATTAGAACAACACTCTATATACATGTGAACATGCACAATTAGGGTATATTTAGATAATTATGAGACATAATTATGAGACTCAGTAAAATTATAATAATTATTGTATAATGTGAGCTGAAGCTGTGTTCCCAATTTCTTCTTGAGTTTATTTACAATTCATTGAAAATTCTAATGAAATAATTTATTAGAGATTTAAACGAACATGAGTAAATTGAATGTAAAAATCTGAGACAAATCAATCTCAGTTTACTGTGTCTTCATAAATTTACTGTCCCTCAAGCACAGGTCTATAAGTTAAACTTCTATGAAAATTAATTCCATCTGGTTTATTAAATTGAGTATATGCAAGAAAAAAAGTAAATATATTCTCTCTCTCCTGGATGCATTCTCTTGCCTTTGATATGCTTTGGCCCAGGGGATTCAGTGGAAATTATTTTTAAAATCCTACTGAAATTAATAAAACTAACCAGCATAATTAGGCTGAGAATTTTATCCCTGCTGTAACATTTCATAAGCGTATAACAACATTCTGTGAGAAGGTTATCATTCTCTGCTAAATGGCCCACGTGTTTTTCTGCAAGGCAATGGTCAGGCCCATCAAATTAAATATTATATGATAAGCATGAAACAACATACTCTTCCAAACTGGTCTGATTTGCACGTATGGTTCTTCTTCTCTCTTCACTGACTCTGCTCATCCTTTTCATAGGCTGCTCCCTTTTAGAGCCATGATCTTCACTTGTAACAGCCTTATCTGCTACCTAAAGGGAGCCTGTGGCATTCTGTCTTTCATAAAGTTCAATTCTTAACTGGAAGAGCTTCAGACCTTTTTTCAATATACAGAACAGTTGAGAGCACGAAGACGGGGCGGGGGGAAGTTGCATAAGGAGAGAAACATCTTCTGTTTCACAGCTAACTCTTTTCCTCTTGGGAACAGAGCACCTCCATGCACACACGTCACCCTTTCCTCTTACAGAAATCTGCTCTGCGGAGGAAGTGTGCTGCCTGCAAGATTGTGGTCCACAATGCGTGTATGGAGCAGTTAGAGAAGGTAAGACATTGCCATCTTCTGGAGCCTGATGCAGACAACACTCCTTTAATTCTTGTACTGAGGTTTCAGTCTGGAAAACACCATATGCCAAAGCAGGTTTTCATAGCTGTTTTGACAATATATTTGTTAAAAAGTTGACTTAAAATCGCAGCTCATTTTTTAAAAAATAGATTTCTTCAAACCCTGTGAACCATTAAAAAAACCCAACCCAACAACAAAAAACCAGTGAATGCTTTCACAATTTTTATGATTAAAAAAAAAATTTCCTTCTACTTCTAGATTGAAAATTAAAGCTAGAAAATACAGTATCCTTCCATGTACAAAATTTGCCTTTCAAAATTCCTCAACTAAACCCAGCATAATCCATCTTATGACAGCTCTATTTATTATAAGCAATGCAGCATAAGATACTACTATGAACATTTTTCACTGTGTTTACTCTAGACTACATGGTTTAGCCTCAAAACTCAGAAATTAAGTTCTTGATTTTAAAATGGAAAATATCAAACTTTTCCTTTATAGTACCATTATTTCTGTGAGCATCTGTCCTGCTTCGCAGTTCCTTCAAGGAGTCCTCCTTACCCCCAAGTGCCTATAGAATATCTGTCACTGAGTTCTCTTCCCATAAGTGATTTTTCTTCAATATGCCTAACTGTTAATGTGTTAAAGAAATTTCTCCCCACTGTTTTTCTTTCATGTTGGGATATGTGTAAAGAAATATGAGTGGGAATTTCCCCATTGATTTCATTAGAGCTTCACTTTCACTCCTATATGTTTTGCAATGTTGTTCTCCATAAAAGAAGTTGATGCATAACAAATTTATAGCAGCAACACTTTGGAAAGAGTTTTTCCTTTCCAAGTATTTGGACTTGTGTTGACAAATGTCACAGTGATTGCCATAATACCAAGTTGGAGAGGTACCATTTCCACCCCCGATGCTTTTACCCACAGTGAAATTAGCATTAGCACATGCTTTCAGCACAAAATGTTACCAGTGAATTTTTCATGACTTCCTTCATCAGCAGCAGTGCCGACTCCCCATAGCCCAGCGAGCCAGTGGCGTTACCAGCTGAAGCAAATAAGCACTTAGATAAAACCCATTCTGTCGAGCTTGTTTATGCCATTCTGGAGACCATGAAATTCACCTCTTGGCGGAGGGTTGTTTTGAAGCCTGCATCCCTCTTAAACCCTGTGGAGTTTAAAACTGGCACATAAGTCTTTTGTTTGGCCCTCTCTGCAAAGGTGTAAGTAAAATAAATATTAGTTGGGGTCTTTCCAGCCTGGCACAACTCAGCAGTGAAACAACAAATTGCAATTCCAGGTGAAGGGCAATGGAGAAAGACTAATATTGCTATGGCTTTTATTTCTTCTTAAGTAATAAGTATTTTGTTTACTTTTTACTCTTTTTTTTTTTTTAAAATCTCCCTCCCTCCCTTGAGCTATTATTTGAAGGCCGTTATTAAACAAGGGAAGAACGTATATGGGAAGAGTCGTATTTAAATTTGGGGAAGCTCAATCCTTCCACCTTCATGACAAAATCGTAGCTGCGCAGTATCCTTAAGCATTTTATTCTTTCAAGGATAGTCAGCTTAAGCTTGAATTAATTTCATTTTGTACATCCTTACTTCACATACCCTTTGGTCTTTTCCCATGCCTCTCTCTTCTTCAGTATATTTTTTTTCTCTACATCCCCTCTGCTCTTATTTCTGTTGCTTTTCTTTTCTCAAAAGATTTTGGGGTTTTTCTCATAGAATTCCCTTGTTGTTTGTTAAATGCTTTTTTCTCTTCATTTTCCTAAAAATGTTTTGCGTTCATGGAAGTTCCTGTTGTCCTCTTTCTGCCTTTCCTCTCCCACTTGGAAATGCACTGCATGAGGCAGTTCAATGCTCCCCAAATGGTTTGTGACTGGGGAGATGGATAAAAGCAGCCTGACCTAAGCAAAAAGGTAGAAATTTAGGGTAACTCACACCGTTCCTCATGTGAAGGAAGATTTCTCCACAGATTTTGTTTATGAAGACATAAAGCTGGGATGTGCAAAAAGGTCTCACAGAGTTAGATTTCCAGCTCCTATTAACTTTTGAGACCTCAGCTTAAGTCCGCTTTGATTGCAACAGATGAAGCAGTTTCCTTCTAGGCAAGGGGAAGACAGTTTAAATAGTTGAACTGAACAGGCAGCAATAGCATTAGTGAAGATGAAGGCTGCGTAGAGATCTAGCAAGGAGAATTATTATGGCACATGAAAAGAGATTTTTTGGCATCCAGGTAAGTTACTTTGTTTGGCTAGTGAAGTTTATTTAATAGATAATGAATATTTTGGAAGTCAACATATTGGAGTAAATTCTCTCTCAGCTCACTTTCAGTTCTAACAGCTTTATTTTAATGCCAGATTAATTTTCGCTGCAAACCGACTTTCCGAGAAGGAGGCTCCAGATCTCCAAGAGAAGTAAGTAATGGACAAACAACAATTGCTTTTCATTTGATTTGTGTGCTGATCCACCTGGTGTGGAGCTGCAGCAGTGCTTTTAAATTCAGAGCAGTCTTAGAGTATTGGTTCCCAGTGGGACATGTTCTTCTCCCCAGAATAAATGTAAAATGAATTCTAGCTGAAGCACTCCATTACTTACACAGACAGAAACCATTTCATCTCTCTGTTGTCTCTTTTCCCATTCATTCATTCAGCTATTCTGTCTTTTTTTTTTTTTGTGGCAGCATTTCTTTTTTTTTCTTCCTGACCTTTGAATTAGTATTTTTTATTTTTCTCTATTTCCCTCCCTTCCACTTGCCTCTCTCCTATTTTTTTTTTCCTACAAGTATCTCTAGTATCCTAAGATTTTTTGAGAAAAAAAAAAAAAACCCAAACATTCAAAAACCTTATGGTTTTCTTCCAGCTACTATATGAATTCAGCTCCTTTGAAGATGCTGGGTATTTATTGTTGTTACTGATATATTTAGATATCTGTCTTACATAGTTAGAAGCCAGTGTTTCAAAAACACCTTTTAACTTTTATAGTTGATTTCACGTCCGGCTTGCTCTTAGCAGAGGTAGCTCAACTCCCTGCCACATGGGCGCTTTGGAGCTGGCTGGTGTAATAGCATGGTGCAGGCAGACCCTCTCTGACCCCCTTGCCTGCGCAGAAAGGGAGGCAGCAGTCCTGCTCACCCTCTCGTCTCTTGCCCACCGCTTGCTGCCATCCAGGGTGTAAGTAGTCCAAAGATAAAAGACTGCTTCAGTGCCTGCTCCTTCCTTCCCCCCCGTCCCTCCTGCACAGACTTGTGATTTTTTGCATTACGAGGCTGTATTTGCAAGCAGAACAGAGCGGGGCCCTGCATTGTGGCTGGACACAGCAATGTTTGGGCACTTCTGTGCTCTGTATTTAGGTGATGATTATCTCTGCATCACGTAATGAACTTTCCTCTTTTTGTAGAAGAGTACTGAGAGAGTAGTTCTGGCCACATTTCAACGTGGATAAAGAACATCATCTCGTCCTTATTCCTCCTGCAAGTTTTGGTTGTGTCTGGGGTTTCCCACAGGGACTGCTGCATTTTGCTCCAGAAATGATTGCATTGGCTGAAGGGACCTTTTCTTTGGTGCCTGTAAACCAGTTTCACACAGATGGTACCTTTGAGTTCAAGTTGTCATTGTTTCCTATAACATACTTTTTTGTCCTCCTTTTGCAGAACTTTGTCCGACACCACTGGGTGCACAGGCGGAGGCAGGAGGGGAAATGTAAGCAATGTGGAAAGGTAAGACTTCCAGTGCAGCACAAGCACAACACTGGGCACTTACGAATTCAGGGTAGCCAGCAGGTCCTTCTAGTCACTGAAATTTTTCTATCCTAAACACTCGGAGTGTTTCTTAAAGCAGAAAATGACAAACCTGATATGCAGAGTGGTAATGGCCCTGATTCCCACGTGGGCAGAGAAAAGGCAGCTGCCTCTGCAGGAATGAGCACATCATGTGGCCTGGGTCATTGCGCTGCACTGGCTGGTGAAAACGAGGAGGAGGAAGGCTGTGGCTCCTTGAGCTTTTTTCTTCGTTAAGCTAACCCTGTGCCAACGTGGTGTTCTCACAGTGCTGTCCCCTGTGCCAACATTGTGATGGCCTGTTTTTTCAGACATCTGAGAAAAGAAAGGCTGTTGCTTTATTTCTGTCCCAGCAGACTCTAAGATTTGTGAGAATGTTTCACATTTCCTGTGCTGCATAGGTTGTAAAAATTTAATTCTAAAAAGCTATTAAAAGGGGTAAGAAGTACCTTAGCTATTGAAGGCCCTTTTTCTGAAATATTAGGAACCTCTGAAATCTGTTGAGAGGTATTCAAAAATTAAATTAACACAGGGGTTCAACTTCCTTTCTCTAGCACTATATTCTACTTTTGCCTTCCTCTTAGCATCAACTAGTAAGAAAGACTGTCTTGTCTCCATGGCACAGCACTTAAGTCAGAGGAAAATCAGATTTGTATCTGAATACTGATGTAGATCACCAGCTACCAGCTGCAACAAGGCATGCAATAAATATGTGATACCCTTTTATAGCAAGTGGCGTGCTAACAGTGCAGCAAGGCGCTTTACATGCAGTGTTCTTATGGTGTGACTTTGCAGTCATATTGCCTTGCTCCTCTGCCATTTTGGCCTGGGTCTCCCCTAGAGGCATTACGAGTGGATTTTGCAATGGTAGTATTTACTGCCTATCATATCAAAACCTGTGCTGGGTATGTTCATGTGGGCAACATGATCAATCCATCCTAAAATTCCTCTCAGCCCTGACTGATAAGGAGAAGTTCAGAGGAAATAATAGTTTTCCCCTTAAATAAGAAATATTCAGTTAAGACTAACATGGGTGTATTGTAGTAGAGTAGTTCTTGTCAAGAAACAGAAAGGATTAGGGAAAATTATAACAAGAAAAAAATTCCATTATATTTATTAGCCAAGCAGTCTCCTATTACAGCAAAATACTTGTCTGTCTCATGCTCTGCTGTTGCATTTCTTATGCCTCTGAGTGAGAACCGTCTTTTATATTTTCTTGTCATGCAAGAAAAAGGGAACTATCATTGAAATGGAATGGCAGTAAATTTAAAGCAATAAAGTATTATTCATGGAATACCTAATGATTCTGGTGGATCTTGTTGTGTAATATTAGTCCTATCCCATGTCTGGAATTGGGTGGTTAAATATTTAATAACCATTAATAATAGTTTGAGCAAAGAAAGTGGGTATATCCTAAATGTTAATTTCTATCTCATGCTTCAAGTCATAAGCCAGTGGAAAGGAATTAATGGTCCCCAATATCTTTAGCGTGGCTTTACATTTTGTGTGCCTTCGGTGCCACCATTGACACTTCCTGAGAGCTAGAGAATGGAGGTGTCTGTCAGTGTTTCAGCTCAGATCTGAAGTGCAGTTTGGAAGAAATGTTCCTGATTGTCATCCCTTACCATGGTTCACTTGTGGAGCAGTCGTGCAGTAAATGAACTGAATTCCTTTTAGATTAAACTTCATTGAAAGTTAAGTCTGTGGCTACTAATGAGCATTCAGTTCAGAGGACCAGACTATAGCTAGTCAAAAATAAAATTCTCTGAAAATCTT